CAATGGCTTTGCTTATTGCAAACATCTCTGCAGTGAATATGTTTGTATGCCGCGGCAGGTGAAAGCTCCACTCCCCGTCTCTGCTCCAGATACCGGCTCCAACGTTGTCGTCGGTCCTGGACCCGTCTGAGTACACGTGAGTATAGGCGCTGTATCCTAGAAATTGATAGAAAAGTTGTTTAAGGAGTTTGGGATGTAGGTCCCTCTTCCCCCCTAGAGGCCACGATGTTTCCACATGAAAGTTGGAGTTTTCCCATGGCGGACACAATGGTGGAACATATCTATCAACGTCTTCGAAATGGATACCAGCAGCCTGGCACAAGGTCTGGAGGCGGACGGCCGAGGAATGGGACCTACGCAGTTGCAGGTAACGGGGGTTAGCGACAGCACACCAACCTGGGTGCCCTGTGTCGCGCCTCCTAGCCACATTCAGCACGTACCTTAGCGTCAACATATCGCTCCTGGTGTGGAGTGGGGTCACATGAGCCTCCACCTCTAGTCTTTCTATACGTGTACACTTGTAGGCACCCAGACATAGTTGAAGGCATCGGTTCTGCATTCTGGTCAGCTTTGCGAGTGTGGTGTCGCATCCATAGTCGAGTCTCGATCTGATCAGGGTCTTATGCACCATTAATAAAGATTTCCTATCGGCTCCCCATGTAGTACCTGATACAACTTTCAGGATGTTTGTGACTTTAAGACATCTACTTTCAAGCTCGTTAATGTGGTTTTTCCACGTTAATTTCCGGTCAAAATGAACACCGAGAAATTTTACTGAAGTCTGAATTTTAATAGGAGTATCATTTAATTTCAATACTGGGTTATTTACGTTACGTTTCTTAGTGAAGACTACTCCTACTGTCTTCTCAACTGAGAACCTAAATCCCCATTGTATTGCCCACTCATCAGCGGCTTTTAGGCTGGCTGACACCCTTTGTGCAGATCGTCTCTCGGCCCGAGAGGAGCGCCAAATTGCGGAATCGTCGGCAAACAAAGAGAATTTGAGGTCATTTAACTGGGTGCTGGTGATACAAAATCATTAATCATTATGAGAAATAGTACAGGACCCAAAATGCTGCCTTGGGGAACTCCGTTTTCTTGGACAAATGTGTTCGACCTTACGTTATCTTTTAATTTGACGGAAAAAGTTCTGTCTTGCAAAAAATTTATCATGAAAACGGGTAAATTACTTCGCAGACCTAAGGCCTGGAGCTTCACCATGAGGTCAGTTCGCCATGTCATGTCGAAAGCTTTTTCTATGTCTAGGAAAACTGCAATTAGTGTTTCTTTACTGCAAAGAGCCTTTGAGATGTCTGTTTCAAGACTTTTTAAATGATCTAGTGTGCTTCTACCGTGACAGAAACCACACTGTCGATCATTCAATGAGTTATTACTTTCCAAAAAATACATTAGTCTACGTTTTATCATACGTTCCATGACCTTACAAAGACAGTTTCTGAGCGAAATCGGACTGAATCAGTTGGTGTTCGTAGGGCATTTATCCCTCTTAGGGATCGGTACGACATGGGCATAGTGCCATGAGTTTGGAAACGTTCTGGACGTCCAGAACTCATTGTACACTTCTAGCAATTTGTCCAGGTTTCCCTGGTCAAGGTGTTTAATCATCTCGTATCGTATACCGTCAGGTCCAGGAGTAGAGCCCTTGCCTTTTTCCAAAGCGAAGGAAACCTCCTCTGGGGAGAATGCTCGGTTGTAGTCATGTTCGTCCCCGTTCTCGAAGTCGAGATGCGCGAGCTCGGAACGTATGAATATGAGGGAGGTTGTGGAACCGCAGAACCCGAGCAGCTGCCCACCTGGAGGCGGTAAAATCCTGAGTGTTAATTGTTATAATGGGAGTAGACTATGAACTAATTCAATGGCATATCCTAGTATATGTGTGAATAACAAAGGGAATATAAGATTTAAACCGTCTTTCTAACAATTAATGACGACTGGTGATGTAAGTCATCTCAATATATGTTATAACTCAAGTCTACTTACGCCATCTTAAGATGTATTGGCCTAAAGATTACCCCAACTGAATTGCATCTGTATATTAACACCAGTGACAACACAATCAGATTTAGATAGTCTAAATTATACTCTAAAATATGACAAATATGTGCTCCTTAGCTTGTTGATGGTCGAGACAGAAGGTCATTTGGACCACGCGGGCTTCTTGAAATTATTACGTCATGATGACTTCCAAATCTTGAGATGCACATTTAATATAAATTGAAAAGGTGATCTTAACTGGTTAATAGAAGTTACTAGAACTTCTAGGCTAGAGGTTAGTAGCCCTTTGTCGCCCAAAGGATGGAGCGTCTGTCTTCCCCTAGAGTTCGTCAAGGTCTCTCTCGACGCTAAGCTTGGCGTCTCTATCGTTTGAATGATCTCCTAAACTGTAAGTTATAATTGGTTATATTCGGTAAACTTATTATTTCAATACGAATTGGATTTTTATTAAATTTGATAATTAAGTAAATCGTAGTTTAGAAGATATAAATTTTCACTTCCCGTTAATTACACCTTCTTTCATCCTAGTCATTTCGCGACACATTTAAACACTTTGTTAGCTCATCTGAATAACGAGGATTATAAGTTTATACACAACTTAATATTCTTAATACTTGGTATAAAGAAACAAATATATAGTTTATTTACATATATCTTGATACATTTCGTGCTTGTAAGCAACGTGAATCTTCCTTCTCTCATTTTTATTTTTTTATATTTACTTGCTGGTGTAGAATTAACAACTAGAATTAATTACGCAGCAAGCTACAACAAACTATAAGTACGTCTCCTAGTTTAGATATTAAGAAAAATATCTTTGATTTACACAGAACTTTAGTTTTGTCTCATAATATGAATACATTTCGTTTCTTGTTTTTGTTTTTTAACAAGATTACCGAGATTCTACTTTCATTTCACTATCTATTATATTCGCGTATATTTAGGGTTGCCATATGTGAACATTCAAAAAAGAGGACGCTCCAGAAGACATCCTGCCCCCCCACACATTGGCGCTATGTAACCTTGAAGCAGCCGTGACAATTAATTTTGCAGATTTGCATAATATATATATATATATATATATATATATATATATATATATATATATATATATATATATATATATATATATATATATATATATATATACCGGATTTGGTAAACGTTACTCTGACCACCTCCGTGATACGGGTGGTCCCCATTAGCTCGTTGAACAGGCTTTGTGTGATATATATATATATATATATATATATATATATATATATATATATATATATATATATATATATATATATATATATATATCGGTGTACTGTATTGCATTGTGTTTTTAATGTAGGCTAATATACAACATTCATGGTAAAGAAATCTTAAAAATAATAAAAAAATTACCTTTGCTTAAGGCTGAACATCTTCAATCCCTTAGCTGCAGTCTTCTTCCCCCACTGTGTGTGTGACTTGATGTGCCCATGCACATCAAGATTATGGTTGAAAATTGCTTAAATGCCTTAAATGCAGGACAAGAAAAACAAATGCTACAGTGTAAAAAAAGCCATAAGAAAAATATGGTATACTTTCAACATTTCATTTATGGCTGTAATAGCACTAAATACAAAAGCAAATTTAATAATGCGCGTGGCTGAAGAACAAGGAAAAGCAGTACATGGCACTACAGGCTAGCCCAAATATTGCTAGCAGCTAAGTTGACAACACCGCACAGGTACACGTGACTTATCAGCTGACGAAAACTGAACGATACCTCTACGGTTTCCACCTCCCCTCTCTCTCTCTCTCTCTCTCTCTCTCTCTCTCTCTCTCTCTCTCTCTCTCTCTCTCTCTCTCTCGTCATTACAGTTTCATTTTTTTTTCCGTGGAGAAAATGATGGAAGCTGAAATTCCGGACGTTTAAAGAATTTAAAATATTACTTCCGGACGAAGATTTCGAGACCTAAATGGAGGACATGTCCGGGAAAATACGGACGTATGGCAACCCTACGTATATTTGATATAGTTTGTACAATTTGTAGAAGTTTATTGATTGAAATTAATAAAATTGTAATTGGATATAATCTTATCAAACTTAGAATTTCTTAACGACCTCGAAAGATTCGGAAACGAATCTGGAAAACTGTTTTTTATTGGTGGCATCACTGACAGTGTGGATGGGGGTGGACTTTTACACTCATCGCATTACTTTTTGCGACAAGTAATTGGCCCACAACTGCTTTCAGCTGAAGCTTAGAGGGGTGTGGGAGGCGGCAAGCTGGGAGGCGGCAAGCTAGGAGCCGGGCTGGTTCGCCGGTGGTTCTGGAAAACTTCACAAGAAGGGCGAAACAAATGTTACAATAATAATAATAATAATAATAATAATAAAATACAGTATATGTAAATCTTATTTTTGAATGTGTATCTAAGACTCAAAATGTTGCACCAAATGGTCCAATATTAAAACAATTCACTGTACTTGTGAAGTGAATGTTAATTGTTCCAAGAGTCACCAATCTCAACATACTGGCCCCCCACACTGTTCACTGTACTTGCTCCAAACCTTTCACTAATGTTCGTGATTATGTTCTCTAAACGAAAAAAATATACAATAAATGATAAATTAGTGATTCTGTCCGTGTCTGGTGGTGGTGGTAGTTTTGTCTCATGATCAGAGAATTGTCAACAGATTTATTTGTAACGTCTTTTTGTTCTCATAAGAATCAACAAACAATAGTTCTGAAGTTTGCGACTTTCAGTAAGTTTATAGAGATAGAAGAAGTCTGATAAAATTTCGGTAGGCGAGTGAATATCACACAAGGTTACGAATAAAACTGTTGGCATATGATTACACTCGCCAACCAGTTTCCTCTGACCAATACATCTACAGTGACAGACGGCTGGTTGTTTTTTTTTTACGCTGGTAGTCAACTGCTGCTTTCATGATATTTTATCTACAGCAAAATTAAAGGCGAGACTCATTCCTGTCTTCCCCACAGTACTTCGAAAATGAGACTCGTCATTGGCATCCTGATCCTGAACATATGTACGTGCTCCCTGGTGTATTGTGGCCTCAATTTTAGTGGCAACAACTACAGCTCAGATCCATTTCTTTTTGTCGTTATTGGCGGGCTGATGGAGGTACCGGGTCACACCCTCACCTCCCCCATTATCAACCGCTATGGAAGGAAGATATCCATCATGATTGGCTTGTGCATTTGTGGGGCTGCCCTTCTCTCTCTTGCATTTATACCTTCAGGTAAATAACATTGTAGTTCATTAATGCATTTTTAAATTTATCCATTTTAATGTAACTCTGACGTCAGGAGATACTAGAAGTCCATCAGTAACTCAGATACTCTGGAAATCATATAAATGTTACTCTATAAAGTTGTTTGACGAGCTTAGCTTACATCACAGAACATTGGCTAACTTTCCCCTTATAAAGAAAACCCTGGCTGCCCTGTATTCTATCAACCTGACCTAATCTCTGTCTAGACAACCCTGACTGATCAACCCTGACTGATCAAACTTTGACTAATCTGATCACTGTCAAGGCAACCCTGGCTAAATTGTTCTCTGTCAAGAAAATCCTAACTAATCTGACCTCTAACAAAGCAACCTTGGCTGACCTACACTCTATCCATCTACCCATCTTTCTCACAATCCTGAACCACCTTTATATTGGACGTCATTCGAATATCCACACCGTTGATGCCACGTGTGTCGGATGTGTCATTGATATCCACACCAGACACCAGAATATTACCGTTACCAGCTGTTTGACGTCAATATCACACTAGGTATCACCTGTATATCGTTACTGGAATATCACGCCACTAGTTACCACCAGTATATAGCCAGTGTGACGAGATCACACCAGCAGTTATCAGTACTGTGACTTGTAAAAACTATTTGATCTTTTAAATATTACCACTTTATTTTTTAATATCCACACAAGGTAATTGCAAGCAATGATTTCTCTGAACATTTGCTACCAATCGAGACATTCCATGCTCTTTCCTGTCAGCGGGATAACTAACTATTTTTACTGCACCATTTTACGTCACACAGTAAAATATATTTTAGGACAATAGAAATTGTTTTTAGTATAAATTTACGCAAAATTAATTGAACATCGTTACACCTTGCCTTTGTCAAGCCCCTGATAGAATGATCTCTTTATCAGATATCTCATGGCTTGTGATGACGCTTGCCATGATTGGTAAACTGACCATCAGTGGAGTACTTATTATCGTCATACTGTACCAGACGGAGCTGATCCCCACGGAAGTTCGTATGCAGGGTGAGGCAACGACCGGCATGATGGGACAGCTAGCATCCGCCGCCTCTCCCTACCTTATCGATATCCCGGTGAGTTTCGCGTCTTCTGCATTACTTCAGGGGGAGAGCATGTGCTAAGGATGTTTCCTGGAGGTGTATTTACTATGCAGTGTGCTATATCCGCACTAACTCATTGCTCTAGGAACCATTTTTACGTCTCAGGTTCTTACTTCAATACAGTCATCAGGTTCTCTGATTGCTGCGAATACAGGATATATAACTTAATGTTTTAATGGATGACTCGTAACTTCACAAGAGGCAAAAAAAGTTATCAAAGATTTGGTTGGGAATTCATATACATCATCTGGGCACAATTATTAACTACATGTAATTATAGTTGAAGCCTTCAACATGTACATACTGAATCTTGAATGATTCTTCTACTGGTAGGTGTACATCACTTAATGCTACTTATACATGCTACATCATGATTTTAAATTTACGATACAGGAAACAAATATCTCTCTAGAGGTAACTTGGCTGTTTCATACCTGTTTTATAGACGACGGAGCATAATATGAACAAGTAGAAGTGTGAAAATATTATGACAACTATGGCGCAGCTCTGCCACATCTCATACGGTCATACACTAGCCCTCATACACTCCTAGGCTGCGGTACGTACTGTACCGCATGTGGAGGCAACTGTACAATACATTAGAAGATTTTAACGTATGAATATATAACTAAATGCTTCTTTAACTTCTTGGATGTATTCTGAAAGAATAGCTAATCCTTGAATATTTTCTGAGAACGTAACCAACTCTTAGACTTATTGGAGGAGCACCAATATGACCTCCGTAGGTCTCAGTAACGATTTTATGCTTAATGTAAGTAATCCAAAGGACTCACCTAAATTATAAAAGTACTCTGAAGAAGCAAATAACACTTAGGTATATTTTGAGGGGCCCTATTTTCCTATGGATACGCTTACAAGGGTTTTACTAACACTTAGGTACTTACTGGTGGGCATACTAAACCATGGATACTCTTTGAGGAACCCTTTTATCCCCTGGCTATACTTTGAGGGGCCCTATTATCCACTGGATACTCTGTGAGGGTCCCTATTATCCCCTGGCTACACCTTGAGGGGCCCTAATATCCCCGGGATACTCTTTGAGGAACCCTATTATCCCCTGGATACTCTTTGAGGAACCCTTTTATCCCCTGGCTACACTTTGAGGGGCCCTATTATCCACTGGATTCTCTGTGAGGGTCCCTATTTTCCCCTGGAAACTCTTTGAGGGGCCATATTATCCCCCGGATACTTTTTAAGGGGCCTGTTATCTCCTAGATACTCTGAGGAGCCCTATTATCCACTGGATACTCTTTGAGGAGCCCTATTATCCCCCAGATACTTTTTTGAGGGGCCCTGTTATCTCCTGGATACTCTCTAAGGGGGCCCTATTATCCCCTGGATTCTTTTGAAGAGCCCAATTATCCCCTGGATACTCTTTTTGGGGCCCTATTAACAACTGGATATTCTTTGAGGGGCCCTATCATCCCCTGGATACTCTTTGAGGGGCCCTATTGTCCCCTGGATACTCTTTGAGGGGCCCCATTATCCCCTGGATACTCTTTGAGGGGCCCTATTATCCCCTGGATACACTTTGAGGTCCTATTAACCCCTGCATACAATTTGAGGGGCCCTATTATCCCCTGGATACTCTTTGAGGGACCCTATTATCCAATGGATACTCTGAGCGGCCATATTCTCCACTGGATACTCTTTGATGGGCCCTATTATCCCCTGGATACTCACGCTATGCATCGCTCTGGCAATGACGCATGTGTGATCTGAGGGAGGCCCAGCGGCTGGGGAATCTATCTGCAGGTGCTGTTCAAGAGCGTGGTCCCGGCAGGTGTTGGACTCTTTCTCCTGTGGGAGTCTCTGCTGGCTGGGGACTCGGTGCTGAGAAGGGAAGTCCCCCTCCCAACCTCGGCTTGTGAGGAGTATGACTCTGTCTGCCTCTGAGTTCAGACTCTCCCTGTCTGTCCAGTTCTGCTATATGTGCTGTTCTTCTCTGGGCTGTAAGCTATGGTTTGATAAACAATCATTAAACCTCCCACTAAGACCAAAGCTTCCATACCAGAGAACTGATGACACATATAGACAGTGACCATGGTAATATCGTGTGCAGTATCTAGAATTGCCCAAGGCAATAATGCAACCTCACATTTTACAAACAATAACCGCCACCTGTCGGTAGTACTTCCCTCATAGTTATTGATATGTATGTTTTTCTACTGGCTTGGTTTGATCTGACAAAACTCACTATAGAACGCATCAATTGACTAAACCTTGAATGTAGTTCTCAGGCCAGTAACCTCATAATGATCTATGTCAGGAGTCCCACTAACTGTCTGACGTTCTCTCAGGGCCCAATGCGTTCCTGTCTGTCCAGTTCTGCTATATGTGCTGTTCTTCTCTGGGCTGTAAGCTATGGTTTGATAAACAATCATTAAACCTCCCACTAAGACCAAAGCTTCCATACCAGAGAACTGATGACACATATAGACAGTGACCATGGTAATATCGTGTGCAGTATCTAGAATTGCCCAAGGCAATAATGCAACCTCACATTTTACAAACAATAACCGCCACCTGTCGGTAGTACTTCCCTCATAGTTATTGATATGTATGTTTTTCTACTGGCTTGGTTTGATCTGACAAAACTCACTATAGAACGCATCAATTGACTAAACCTTGAATGTAGTTCTCAGGCCAGTAACCTCATAATGATCTATGTCAGGAGTCCCACTAACTGTCTGACGTTCTCTCAGGGCCCAATGCGTTCCTGGTTGCCGTCCACGATCTTCGGAGTGTCATCTTTTTTGTCTGCCTTGAGTCTCCTAACGCTGCCGGAGACTCGGTTGATGGCAATGCCTGATACCATCAACGACCTGGAGGACGTATTTTCCGAGAAGAAAAAGTAAATGTTATATTTTATTTTTATAGGAGAAAATATAATACCTGTATAGATATGTAAATACCAAGATATGTGAACACGCCTGACGCCAAGACTCTGTTACCATTCATTGTACCATTTATTCACATGTCTGTATTACTACATATTATTATAGCATGTCTGACATCTATGCTTATGTCTAATGCCTATGTTCACTTACTATGTCCCGATATACTATGTCTGTACCGCGCTAGTCGAGTAACTAGAAGACCTCATTTATTGTCCTAGTAATGTCTAGCAACTCTCCTTGCCTAGCTAGCTAACTTCCCTCAGATCGGCTTCGGCCTGCCTACGTCACGGAGTCCTTTTTGCTTGTCCCGGTTTTTCTGCACCTGTCGGTTATCCTGCCAAATCTTGTACTACTTATTGAATATATCTACTGCTCGTGCTCTGGAGTTTGAAGAACCTTGTCTAGGATTTCATCCCACCACAATACCGTTGTATTGTTTTTCTTTTCTTTGCTACTTAAGACTCTTTACCTTATTATGTTTATAGTGAAAAGTTGGTAACTCAAATATGTTTTTAGTTTTCATACTGTTTTTCTTTAAGTCAAGGTTGACGAGGCAATATTCTTTTTCTTCGACTTAGAGTTGGCGAGGAACGGGAGGTAAATGGAGAAGCTGTAGACGTAAACATGTCTTGAGCACAACTTGAACACGTCCTGAATACAACCTAAATACGTCACCAACCCGTCCTAACACAGCCTGAGCACATCATCAACATGTCCTGAACTCAACCTCAACTTGACTGCAACACGTTCTGAACACAATCTAAATACTTCTGTAGCACGTCCTAAACGCATCTTCAACACGGATGCAACGAGTCCTCATTCAACAGTCCACGTTGTGCAGTGTTAATGAACTTAAGATAATTATAACCCAACTTTCTTTATGTACAAAATAATGTGATGTATCAGTGTGCTGAGTTCTTCGCCCTGTAACGTCACTTCCGCTGGGAACAAGTGATTATCAACTGTTCGCGGTGAAAGCATCTGACTGACGGCCACAAATAGAGAATATAATTTTGGACCAAAACACGCTATGCTGACAGTCAGAAGATGATGAGAAACGCTGAGTATGAACACCTGGATTTTGAATATTACTCAACGAAGACCCCCGCCCTAATAATGACCACTTAGTAGCTCTTCGTACCGCTGTGTTTACATGGTGCCTCTTTTTGTGCAGCATTGCATACGTTATTGCATCCCATGTTGCATGTCTCTAGATGCGCCAGAGGCATGCACAATAAGGTAAGAAGAATATGTGTTTACACGGCGACACGATGTCTGTGGAGGAGGTTGTATGATAACGGCATATGAATATTACATAGACGTAGCCCACTATGTTCCCATGAATCAAACGTTTTTCTCATAGATATGTGGAACGGGTCATACCTTTCCGCAGGACTTCCCTATTTGTGTCAGGAAACCTTACGTCAGCTCATGCCTCTCAGTTTCTTAGGATATGAGGCATGGCTTAGAGAAGGGATGCCCAACCAGCGGCCCGCAGGCCGGCTCCGACCCGCACGTACTGTAATTTCCCAGACAACCCCTCCATAAATGAAGACGCCAAAATCCGTGCCATCATTGTATCCAAAATACTCTTTTTGTTTATATATGTTTTCGGATTATTATACCTTTTTTTTTGTTGGATCCTAATGCCTAATTATATAGTGTTATAAAGTATCAAATATTTGCTTCACCTCAAACCATTCATTCAGTTGTGTGGCCCCCTACACTACTAGACACTAAGTTTGGCCCTCCTGTCGCACGAAAAGAGGCACCGTATAAACGTGGCATAAGACTTAATCAATATACTGTACTTATTAAGTTCAAAGTGGAAACACACAAGTCTACCTATAACTGTTACCAGTTGATGCTAAACCTTATATCAGATTAACTAGGCTGTGATTTATTCTATGAAACGACAGTCAAAACTTGTTACGAAAAGAATGACAGAGAGTTTCCCAAAAAATTAACAAACTCAAGTTAATACAAATTTCACCATTTTGATGTCCCTCTTTGCTGCCCGTAACATTGATGAAAGGCAAAGTTGACAAGTAAAAATACAGAGTGAATAATCTAGGGGTTGAAATACGTGGATGCAGCAAGTAAGGAGCACACACACGAGAATCACTGTTTGTGACAGACAAATTTAAGTCATGAAATGGATAAGAAGATTAATTATCATGTAAACTAAGTAATTTATTAACTTATATTAAGAATTGATTAAGTTAGTTCATCAAGTAAATTAAATAACACAAGTAAATGAAATATGCAATTATCAAAACAAAAGTAACAACTAAGCATTTGTCAAAACACACCAGAATAATAACAATTATTCTTATTTTAAATATTAAATACACAGACTATATACAACAACACCAAAACCTGATAGAAATGGCAGCAAGTCTAGGTTGCGATGACCAACCACAAGGAACCAGGGATTAACGCCGTAGTCCACTACCATCAAGCCATTACAGCACCACCACCAGCAGTCCTTATTACAATTCGTCGAACACACCCCTGGAGAAGAGGAACACCGTAGGCCGAAGAAAAGAGACTCGGCTTACCAGGCAGACAAACTTGCCCCAATAGCTGGGTCACATTATTTCGTGTCGTCACACCATGCATACCTAATGTCTCCTAGTGGCTATATCGACGACCACCAATGAAAACAAAATATTCCCCACCTTCTCCAGCTAAACACCAAAGGGATGTGCTTGTATATAGGGTGATTCAGTAAAGAGTACATTAAATTGGAGGATGAAATCCTTGGATAATTCTAAACCATTATCGGCCATTTTTTTATTCACTCGGGGCAGCAAGCCCGAAGAGAGAGGGCAGAATCGCTCTGAGGGAGTGAGTAGTGATTACAAGTGAGAGAATAACGGGAGTACTGCTGGAGCATACATACATAAATCCCAAGTGACCAAAGTGAATAAGGTTCAGTGGAAGGACAAGTGGATGGAAGTGTGTAGTAGTAGTAGAAATAGGTGCCGTGGCTTAACACAGCATGCCTGATTGTTATAGGATTGCTACTACAGTCTCCCCAGCACCTCCAGCAGCACAACACTGGAGAGAGAGCCGCAGCCCGAGCTCTGAACCTCGGTAGGCCCAGCTTAACATCAAATTTGCCGCCCTAATAGAAGCAAAGGACTCGTTCATAGTCCTTTGCCTTGAAAAAATAGGCGATATTCTCGCCGCCGATGCAGCTTAGCAATTGAAGGGAGAAAACTTCGAAATCATAGTACCACCACAATTCTGAGTCAAGAAATCTAGTCATCAAAAGGGTTGATGACCCAGCCCAGTTGCTACCTGACCCAGCTCAGTTGCTACCTGACCCAGCTCAGTTGCTACCTGACCCAGCTCAGTTGCTACCTGACCCAGCTTGGAGAAGGTCGCGCCCGCAAGTGCTCCCGTTAGAGACCAAGGAAAATGGCCGCCTTGGATCGTTGTGTCTTGGGGGAAGAGGAGGGGAGTGTGGGGAAAGACGACCTCCTTGCCACTCTGTTAAGGCAGCTGGGGCAGTTGAGGAGTGAGGTTGACACTCTAAAGGGGGAAAATGAAGCCCTCAGGACGGAATTCCTTCAGGTAGGTGTCCTGCCTAGCAGGACACCTGCGAAGGAGGAGCAGGCATGGAGAGTGGTTGTCTCCAAGGGGACTAGGGTCAGGCTCAGGAAAGCTGACCAGGGTGTGGAGTGTAGTAACCCTTACCAGGTGCTGCAGGAAGCTGGCGAGGAAGAGAAGAGGCAGGACGGTATGGAGCAAGGAGAGGAAAGGGCAGTTGTACAAACCCTGCCCACAGTTAAGGTCATGGTAGTTGGGGACAGCCAGGTGAGGTTTGTAGATAGGGCTTTTTGTGCGACAGATAGGAAACGTAGGACTAGGGTGTGTTTTCCTGGGGCTGGGATAGGGCATGTAGCTGAGAGGTTAGACAGGGTTTTGTCAGGGGAGGGTACCAATCCAGTAGTGTGTCTTAGCGTGGGAGGAAACGACATAGGTAAGGTTAGGAGTGAGGAACTTTTCAAGAGGTATAGGCAGGCGCTGGGGAAGATTAGAGATAGGGGAGGGATCCCGATAGTATGTGGTGTCTTGCCTAGAAGAGGGGTTGGTCGTGAATGGGTGTCCAGGGCAATTGCTATAAATTGCCGACTGGAAAAACATTGTGCAAACAATGGTTGGGCATTCATTGATAGCTGGCAACGATTCTATGGCAACGACTACCTGTACAGTCGCGACGGAGTACACTTGTCTCGTGAGGGGGTAAAGACGTTGTCTGCATCCCTGAAGCGTGAAATTGTCACTCCGATGGGGGGGTTTCGCCAGTAGAGAGAGGTCGGGGAAAGTGGGAGTCAAAAAACAAGCAGGTCCTGGGAAGTAAAATTGGTTGCTCAGGATAAGGGGTAAAACAGGACCAGGGAAGGGTAGGTTTAAATGTATACTATACAAACAGTAGGAGCGTTAGAAATAAAATAGACTTGCCGAGAGCGGTTGTATGTACAGAGAATGTAGACGTCATAGCAATCACCGAAACTTGGATGAATCTGGCGAGCAAATTTTTTTTATCAGAGTACCACATAGAAGGGTACAACCTTTTTCACAAGGACAGGGAAGGTAGGAATGGGGGAGGGGATGCACTCTTCGTCAAGGATACATTAAAATGTTGTATTAATAATTCAATAAAGGGTGAAATAGGAACCAAGTCTGTGTGGGTAGAAATCACGGGAGGAAGAGAAAAACTAATTCTGGGAGTGATTTACAGGCCCCCGAGTCTTGGCAAAGAAGCAGCTCAGCCCATATGGCAGAAAATGAGAGGGCAGCAAAATATAACAATCTATGCATCATGGGGGATTTCAACTTCAGAAATATTGACTGGGACAACATTGTAGGTGACTATGAATTTGAAGACTTCCTAGATGCAGTACAGGAAATTTTTTTGAAACAACTAATTACAGAACCTAGTAGAGGTGACAATAAATTAGACCTAGTATTAACAAATAAAGAAAATATTATCAGAGATATCACAGTAGGGGAAGAACTAGGTAACAGTGATCACAGAGAAATCAGATTCACCCTAAATTGGGAAACGAAAAACAATGACAATATGGTCAGAGTCCCAAACTTTCGGTTGGCGGATTATCAGGGGTTAAGAAGGTACCTAGGTGAGGTCACCTGGGAACAGTCACGTCAGTCCCCAGGTGGAAGGGGTGAGGTCATAGATGACACAACAATTGATCATGACTATAATATATTCACTAGTATACTACATAAAGCACAAGAACAAAATATACCATACAGAAAAATTAGGTCAAATAAGAATGAACCAAGGTGGATGACCAGAAAGGAATATATAAGAAATTAAACGGAGTGGAGGAGCAGCTCAGAAATAGGTATAATGAACTATCTAGGAATGTAAAGAAAAATGTAAGGAAAGCAAAGAGAAACAACGAAATCAAAATAGCAAGAGAATCCAAGGCGAATCCCAAGGGATTTTTCCAGGTATATAGGACAAAGGTCAAGGACAAAGTTGGGCCTTTAAAGTCAGGGCGGGGAGAAGTGATAAATGGCAGTGAAGAAGTATAAGCAAAGCATTGAACAGCTACTTCTTATCAGTTTTCCAGAAGAAATTTGCGATGAAATTCCTGAGGTGGAACTGATATTAAAGGGAAAGGAATTTTCCCTCGAGTCTTGAAAGAGTGTAGGGAACAGATTAGCGGACCCCTCGTAAACTTATTTACAAAATCATTAGACACTGGAGTTGTGCCAGACTCGTGGAAACAGGCAAATGTAGTACCCATATTCAAAAAGGGAGACAGAGCATCAGCGTCAAATTACCGGCCGATCAGTTTGACGTCAGTAGTGGGGAAATTTCTTGAATCAATTATAGCAGATAGCATCCGATCGCATCTAGAGAAAAGCAAATTAATCTACGACTCTCAACATGGGTTTACAAAGGGAAAATCTTGTCTAACAAATCTGGTAACGTTTTTTAGGAAAGTCTTCGAGGTAGTAGATAATGACGAAAAT